CTTACCTAGTGCTCTGCTTTGATTAAGCTGAAAGAATCGTAAGTGCCTTTAATGTGCTACAGTACAATTTAAAGGAGAGTACAAAGTGAAACTCTGTCAGAGAAGAAAAATGTCTATTTAAAAAAAAAAAAGGTAAAGATAGAAAATACTTCATTTCTTACCCTACTTTAGCAAAGAGACATGTTAAAGCTATCGGTGGGTTGTATTTGACGCTAATGTGGCATTTCATAGGGGAAGGGAAAACGCAAAAAGAGAGATTCTCACCCCTCAATTCTGTTTCTAAACCTAACACCTACATATAAGCCTACTGGATCTCAATGGCAATGCATCAATGTGCCTGTATTGCCTCTATTAAACTTACAAAACTCCATTGAATGATTTATGAGCCTCTAATCTGTAGATTTTCCTGCACATTTCCAATAATTTAAAATAAAATATTTTCCCTTGTTGTTTCACATGTATTCCACTCCTGAAAAAAAAAAGAAAAATAAGCAAAAGCTCTATTATACATAATCATAGAAAAATACTATTGTATACCTTTTTTATTAGAAATAGCAACTGCAAAACTTCTCTAAGCGGTGAATTTTATTTTATTTTTGCAGTATTGTATCACTGATGTAATTATGTATATTTTTAATTGCAGATGAGTCATTAAGGACTCTAAAGCAAAAAAATAAAATAATCATGATGACATCCAAAAATAAACTTTCATAATATATCCCTTGTCGGGCAAAAGCACAAAAAATGTCATAATAGAAAACAACCTTCAAGAAATATTTTCAGGCAAACAACATTATTTTAAAGGCAACAAGTAGAAAGACTATGTTCTCAGGATAATAAACATGTACTGGCTTCTAAAAATACAAATTTAGTTTTTTATATGGCAAGCAAAAAAAAAACATAGGACTTATGTGACCTGGCATTGTACAAAAGACAGCACCGTACTAACCAATTTCATTGCTTAGGAAGACCACTGGCAGTGTAAGATTAGGAAAGAAAAAATAGATATTTTGACTACATACTTGAAATTTATTCTGCTGTCAAAACTGAAACTCAAGACAATATAGAAAAGAATGTTATTGCCTAATATTACTCCTCTAATTCAGGTTAAAAACAAAGATTATTTTTCAAACAGCATTCACATTTTAAAAAAACCACACATGTAAAATGAGAGTTAAAAACCAGTAAAAATAGTAAATATAGAAGAGAGCAGTCTATAAAGTGTAAGGTGAGAAGTTAAGCATTCGGATGTCGAGATTCTTCTTTATACGTCTTTACACATCACAAAGTGTGCAAAACAGGTTGGAATACGCCTTAAATGCTGGACAGTCAATTTCTTCATTGAAAATGAATACAAACTTCTTGAAGAGAGGCTGACATGATGAACTGGAGCCTGACTTCTCCTTAGCGTCAACATTTTACTTACAAAACATTTACATAGCATATGTAATTTCAAGTTCTAGTGTTCATGAGTATTCTTTCCCTTTCTAACAGAACTCAAGACCACTTTGTACTGAACATTCTTCACACTATACTACATAAATTACGTATCAATCCTAAAGTTATATGAGAAAGTACTCCATTAATACCTCGGAAAAATTCACTTTGTAGAACACGACCGCAGAGAAAAAAATAAGGAAGTCCTTTAAGAATTTCTACAAATAGCTAGGTTACAGAGAAACATTTTAAAAATAGATTAATACAAATGTTTCAGCAATTCAACTCTCCCCCATCTATAAACTACTGTACTTAAGTGGGACTGAAGTTGGGGACAGGCAGGTCAGTAAACACATTACCAGACTACAGACAACTGCATGAAGAACAAGAAAATAGCAATAAAACCGCACACACAACACATTTGCTAATCATAAAGAAACGCACTGGTAAAAAAAAAAAAAAAAAATCATCATTTTTGTCATAAATTTTGCAGCGCAGCCACAGAATGGAGAACAATCTGGGCAATTTATTGGCATATTGGCAGGAGGTGATAAGGCTAAAAACAACAACAGCTAGCAGCTGGTGCAGTGAGATGGGCTGATAACATTGATATGGGTCTCCCATACAAAACACCTCCTGGCCTATCAGTGCTTTTTATCAAACTAGGATTACAATAATAGCTCATGAGAGAGGGGGTTTGGTAGGTTTTCTTGGGTTTTTTTTTGGGGGGGGAGGGGACAGGGGGGGGAGAGGCAGAAAAAAAATACAGACCTGGAAAGGAAAAAAAAAATCTGAATTTTTTGGGACAAAACATTGGGGCAAAATACATAATTTATCACTGTATTATCAGGAAATCCAGGCAGTCTAATCAAGGAGCACTGAGTGACTATTTTTTGCCTTATCATCCAAAGTGGTGGAAACGGAGAAGGAATTATCAGGCTTCTGCAGATTGCTGGGCTGGAATTTTAATGGTAATAATCGGGTTTCTGATGGTATATCTTCTCCGCTTATCTTTCCCATTATCTCCCCTTATCTGGCCAGTCATCAGAGCAAATTAATGGTGCTCTTTCAGCGTCGCCTTTTTATCGCTGCCCAGAGAGCACCCAAGGGGAAAGAATAAGCAAAATATTAAAATACTGCATAAATCACAATTTTAGATAGCAGGGAACTGTATGCAGTAAAAGAAAAAAACTGTGCCCAACAACCTTTTTGTCCTTTAAATTGACTGTCTTCAGAGTTTCCAGTGTAAGCTGACTTCTTGCTTGTCATAGAGCTTCTAAATTGTGCATGCTTTATCAGCAATACTTTCTGTTTTATTCACAAACTGAAGAGTTTTCAAACTTAAAGACAGTGGTCTGGTCTTGTCACTAGTCATTCCATTATTTTTACTGGCTATTTTATGATCAGCATTTTCCAGATCTGAATTTAATGTACAAAAAAAAAAACAAAAAACTTGGAAGTTGACTTATTTATGCCTAAATCACAACATGGCTTGATTTAAATATAAGAATCTAAAAACGTGTTAATGAAGACTGCAGTGTACCAGAACAAAACTTCTTCATATGAGAAATACCACTTATGGCTGGCCAAATAGTCACAGAAAACTCTACAGTGGACAATGACTGATTTGAACCAAAATTACTTTACAGCTACACCAAAGAACCCCCCACCGACACCTCAAAAGCTATGATCTAGAAGGATTATGGTGCATAATTTATCCTCCAACTCTTGCTGACCTTGTTTTACTTCTAGTTTCAATGCAGATTTCAATATACTCAAGCAATTAAAAGCATGCAAAAAAAGTCTCCTATAAACACTGTTCACATATAGTTACACACTTTCTACACACGCTTTTAGATATATTTACATTGTTGCATACATGCAAACATACACATGCAAAACACTATATTGCACCTGATATTGAAAAATAAATTTATCCCCTTCAGCATATTGTACCATACAGAATGTTTTGCGACTTGTACCAGCAATACAGTACCTTAAAATCCCTCCCAGCACTTTTCTGCCATTGTGAGGAAGAGATAGTTAAATGGAGATGATAACAAAGTATGCAAAAACAAAATCAGATGGTCTTTGTGCCATACAATCCATTCACATTATTTGTTATCAAGACACCAATCATAGACTAGAAAGTCTTCCTAAATAATGTTCGTTATATCACATAAAATGCACGGTTTCAAAGAATTAACTGTACCATTGCAATTCATATTTACTAAGAGGCTTAAGTTTAAAAGCACATGGCATATTTATTTGGGAATATCAATTTCCAAAGTAAAGTGAAGTTTCTTGGATCACAGAATGATATTCAGCTTAAAAACATATATCAGAAAGTTTCAGTAATTTATTAGGTTACTTCAGTAAACTGAAAACTAAATTTGAAACCATGACGGTTGTTTATATTTATCAGGTTAAAGGCTGTAAAAAGGTAATTTCTGCCAAGCAGGGATGCTCAGCCAATACTACTGGAACACTTTACAGTGACCAGTCTTATTCGACATGAAGCTCGTTTTCTTCTTTGCTAAATCACTTTGTCAATTCAATACTTATTCCATCCGAACTGGGCTATTAATAAGGATTCTGGAGTCAGAAATCGATAAGGAAACTACTACTGAAAGAGCTTCTCCGCGTCCCGTGCCGGTTACTTTGACTGGAGTTCTGTGGTACAGAACATCAATGAAGACCCATCAGATCGGGGACACGGATTTTATAACCAAATGATTTACAGACCCTCTTTCGAAACGCCTGGCACTTCTGCTAGTCCCGACCGCCGGGCTCCTCGGGGTGACGGAAAACTTTATGAAGTTAAGACTCTGTCTCGTGTCACCGGCAAGAAAAGTGAACTCCGAGCACGATTAGCCAGAGTTACGTTTCCGCTCCCTGCCTTCAGCACCTGCTTCTCGCTCCAGAAAACACCTCAAAAAGCGTTAAAGCCCCCGGAGCGGAGCGGGCGCGCTCGGGGCGCGGCGGCGGGACGAGCCCCGCGGGGACCCGGCCCGGGGGAGCGCGGCGCCTCCAGCCGCGGGGGGACGAGGGGACGGCGGGGCCCGAGCGGCGCGACCCCCGGGAACTCCCTCCTCGGTCACTCCTCGGCCCCCCTCACCCCCTTTCTGCCGCCCCCGGTACTCACCGGCGCGGCGCGGGGTCTGCGCGCACGCCCGAGAGGCGGAAAGTTGGCGAGCGGCGGCGGGCGCGGGCAAAGCCCCGTCGGGCTGCTCGCCCGGCGCTACTGCCACTGGAGAAAAGCACGAGGGAGCCCACTCCGAAACTCGGAGGAACAGTTGGCGGGGACTACGGGGAGGCGGCAAGAGCTCCCGAGGAGCGGAAAAGAGGCCGGTGAGGAGCCCCGCTCGCCCCGCATCCCAGCGGCTCCCGGCTCGGGCTCCCGTCCCCCTTCTCTCGCCCCATCCTCAGCCTCGTGGGCAAAGTTTCACGGTTCGGTCCGCACTCCGGACCCCCCTATCGCTCCCCGCAGCCACCTCTCTCGCGTCTCCCAAGAACGAGGTAAATAAAAGTCTGTTAGAGGGAGCCCCCCTCAGGAAACTTACGTTTGATCTGCCTGGGTTTGCTCTGTTTCCTTCGGGACATGCTGCTCGGCTGCCGCTCCTGCCTCGCTCCAGGTACAGGAGTGGAGCTGGGGC